TATGTGCACCATTACATTCATCGCAGTGCTATTTACAATAGCCAAGATGTGAAAGTAACCCAAGTGCCCATGAACAGACAAGTGGGTACAAAAATCTGTGGTACATATATGCTATGAAATATTACTCAGCCATAAAAAAAAAGAATTAAATTTCTACCCTTTGCAACAGCATGGATGGACCTAGAGGGTATTATGCTAAGTAAAATAAGTCAGGCAGAGAAAGTCAAATACCATATGATTTCACTTATATGTGGAATTTAAAAAGCACAAGAAACGAACAAACAAAATAGAAACAAACTCATAGATACAGAGATCAGACTGACTGATAGTTGCCAGAAAGGAGAGGGTTGGGGAATTGGATGAAAAGGGTGAAGGGATTAAGAAGTACAAATTTGGAATCACAAAATAGTAGTGGGGATGTTAAGTACAACACAGGGAACGTAGTCAATGATATTTTAATAACTACATATGGTGCCAGGTGAGTACTTGAAATATCAGGGGGAACACTTGGTAAAGTATATGATTGTCTAACCACTGTACTGTACAGCTAAAACTAATACAAAGTAATATTGGATATAAGCTGTAATTGAAAGAAAAAAATGAAAGATAAAAATCATATGATCATTTTAATAGATGAATAAAAATGAATTTGACAAAATTCAATATCTATTACTCTCAAGAATCTGTGTTTAAAAAATTACTCTCAAGAATGTGGGTATAAAAGGAAAGTACCTCAACATAATAAAAGCCATACAGTCATGCATCATTTATTGACAGGGATATGTTTTGAGAAATGCATCATGAGGCAATTTTGTTGTGCAAACATCATAGAGTGACATACAAACCTAGATCGTGTAGCCTACCACACACCTAGCCTATATGGTCCAGCCTATTGCTCCTAGGATACAAACCTGTTAGCATCTTTCTGTACTGAATACTGTAGGCAATTGTAATACCATGGTATTTTGTATCTAAACGTAGAAAAGATATGGTAAAAATACACTACAAAATACAAAAAGATGGTATACCTGTATAGGGGCGTTTACCATAAATGGAGCCTGCAGGACTGGAAGTTGCTCTTAGTGAGTAGTGAGTGAATGTGAAGGCCTAAGATATTACAACACACTACTGTGGACTTCATAAACATTGTACCTTTAGGCTACACTAAATTTATTTTAAAATAATTTTTCAATAATAACCTCAGCATACTATAACTTTTATAAACTTAAATTTTAAAAACTTTTCAACTTTTGTAATAATAGCTTAAAACACAAACACATTGTATAGCTACGCAATGTTTTCTTTTTTTATATTCTTATTCTATAAGCTTTTTCTACTTAAATTTTTTAATTTTTAAACATTTTTGTTAAAAACTAAGACACAAACACACATTAGCCTAGGCCTACACAGGGTCAGGATCATCGATATCACTGTCTTCCACCTCCACATCTTGTCCCACTGGAAGATCTCCAAGAGCAATAACAGGAATGGAGCTGTCATCTCCTGTGAAAACAATCCTTTCTTCTGGAACACCTCCTGAAGGACCTGCCTGAGGCTCTTGAGGAGGTGTCACTCTTTTCACAAGTATGTCCAGGGAGATTTGCTTGGTTTGTCTCTCTCTTTTTTTAATCATATATTTGCTTGTAAGCAGATAATGTACCACAAACATTCCTCTCTAGTAATGAAAACTTTCAATGTTGGGGGTCCATGTGTTCAAACTTTTTAAGAGGCTTGTGGAGGTTTGAAAAAGCTGCTAAACACTTCACTATGAATGTTCTTGTGGGTTCTTTTTCTTCTACATTTCCCTTTTCTCTTGCCTCTTCTTCAGCTATGCACTCCTTTTCCAGTTCCAACAATGCCTCATTAGTCCATTCCTGAGGAACCACCTCTAGGAGTTCCTCGGTGTCATGCTCACCCACACACAAGTTACACTTGGCTGTCATCTCAGCCACAGCCTTCACTAGTAGTCATCGCTGATTTTCCACCTTTGTAGTCCTTAATCGCTTTTCATTTTGTTTCCATGTCAATTACTCAATATGGCATCATTAACTGCGGATTTTGTACCCTTAGGGGCCACGACACACAAAACAGCATGACATTAAGCACAAAAGAAAATGATGCCATCAAGACACACAGTAAACATGAGACGTATGAGACTGCTGCCGGCATAGCATGACATACTGGGTTTTTTACAGGTAGAAAGAATATACTCTAAAATAACGATAAAAAGAAGACCAACAGATAGATAAAAAGATGCTCAATGTCCCTGTTATAATGGAAATGCAAATCAAAACCACAATGAAATACCACCTCACGCCTATTGGAATGGCTATTAATCAGTAAGAGAAGAAATAAGAAGGGCTGGAGAAGATGTGGAGGAAAAGGAACACTCACATGCTGCTGTTGGGGATGTATATTGGTTCAGTCAGTATGAAAAACAGTATGGAGTTCCCTCAAAAAATTAAGAATAGAACTACCACATGACCCAGCAATCCCTCTTCTGGATACCAACCTGAAAATTTTGAAATCACCTATTCATAAAGATATGTGTACTCCTGTCTTTATTTTTTCCCAAGATTTTATTTATTTATCTTTTAGAGAGAGGGGAAGGGAGGGAGAAAGAGAGGGAGAGAAATATCAATGTGAGAGAGAAGCTTCGATGAGTTGCCTCTTATCTGGGGACTAAACCTGCAACCCAGGCATGCGCCCTGACCAGAAATGGAACTGTGACTTTTGCTTTGTGGAATGATGCCCAACCAACTGAGCCACACTGGTCGAGGCTGTGCTCCTATGTGTATTGCAGTTATTACTCATAATAGCCAAGACATGAAAACAACTTAAGTGTCCTTCAATGGACAATTGAATACAAATATAGTATATATATGCAATGGGATATTACTCAGTCATAAAAAAGACGAAATATTGCCATTTATGACCACATGGGTGGCTCTTGAGAGTATTATGCTAAGTGGAAGAAGTAAGATGGAAAAGGACAAGAACCGCTCGATTTCACTCATAGCAACACAGGAAGCAACAAACTCACTGATACAAACAACGAATTGGAGCTTACTAGATTTGAAGCTGCTGGGGCCATCATGAAAACTCCACTAAATGAAATTAAACTATTTCTATTAAAAAATTAGAAAAAGAGCGAGTGTGTGAGTACACATGAAGAAAATTCCTGGAAAAATAATGAAAAGAGAGGTCATGTCCTATCATAAAATGAAAAGTACTGCACAGGTATAGAAATTGAAAGGGGGTGGTATTGTCACAGAAATGGATAGTCAAGTAGTAGAAAGTCCTGAAACATCTATGTCCACATACATTTTTTTCTGATAAGGTGGCATTCAAATAGTATTCAATAACATGTTGGAAATTGATAAGCCAAGCCACACAACATACATAAAGTTAAAATTCAAGATGGGCGAAAGATCTAAAGATTGAAAACAGGATTGACATGAGACTTTTCAACTATGGTACCAGGTATGTACTTTCATAGATACTATAAGCCATATTAAGAGACTTGGGGAAATTTTTTTCTATCATGTTTTAATACATGATATCCAAACTCTATTAAAAATTTCCATTTCAGTAATAAGTTAAAATAATAAAAATGGACAAAAGTTATAAACATAAATCTCAGAAGGAAAACAAGAGGCTAATTAACATGAAAGCTATCCCTCTGAGCAGAAAAATAAGAAATCAAAAAAAGATAATAATTTTATTCTTTCAGGTGTTAAGAATGTGAAGTTTTATAACAGGTGTTAGCAAAGCAGAGAGATTTAAGCACACTTCTAATTGAAGAAGCCTGTTTGGAAGACTATTTGGATTTCAATCAAAATTCTAAATCTGTATGTCACTGGGTCAGCAACTTAATTTCTAAGAATCTATGTTAAGGAAATAGTCGTACATGTGGACAAAGATATGTAATGTATAGATATAGATATTTATTTGCAACTGTTAAAATTGAAATAGAACTAGTGTTCAATATGCAAGAGGTTAAATTATGGTACCTCCTTACTGTGGAATGAATGTTATGCATTGCGAAAAGGAGGTGGGTCTCCCCTGGACATGGACAAATGTGGGAGGGATGACCTGAGGGAGTGGGAGGTGCTGGGTGGAGGGGGGGCAGAGGGGGAAAAATCAGGACAACTGTAATAGCATAATCAATAAAATATAATAGAAAAAGAAGTGGGTCTACATATTCTGATACAGACAAGATTCCAACAGCTATTAAGTGAAAAAAAGAAAGCGGAGGGCAATACTAAATCATAATCCCATGTATGTTAAATTCTATTATATATTTAAAATGTTATACACCTACATATGTTTGCATTGTATATATGCAATAATAGCTATCATTGAGTTGCATTGTTCTAAACATGCTAAAGAATGACCTTATTTAATTCTCACTATCTACCTCCATTCTACAGATGAGAAACAGGCACAGAGAAATTGAGTAACTTTCTCCAGATGAGATTTAATCCCAGGCATTCCAACTCCTGAATTACTACTAAACTACACAGAGAAAGAAAAACAGAAGGAAGCAATGTTGAAAGTGCTTACTCTAGGAAAGGGAGTGGAGCGAGGGAAGGGGAATTTACCGACATTTCATGTTTCTATATTGTTTGACTCTTTTACAAAATGTGTTCATCATTTACCTAAGTATTTTTAAAGAGGAAAAACATTTGGCAAGGGACTCATCTTTGTTCTGTTCTGCAAACAAATTTTTAAGTAATTTGTAAGAAAAAAAAATGTGGAGAAATTTTTCCTTTGGACAATTTCCAGGTTGCTCTGCTTAAATTGTGTGAGACATTTGAGGTTTTGCTCTCTCTTCTGGTTTTAAAATTTTTTGATATTACATTGATGAACCATGTACTGATTTCATTATCATTGCTAACCCAGTTAAATAGTAAGGGTTAATAATCACTTAGTGTTTTACAACCTCAGCTGCATTTATAAAGTAAGGATTCCACATTCCTCCTAACAGGTCCTCGAAAATGGAGCTGACCTGGAATTTAGTCCTTATTGTTTTTCTAAGTTTTTCATGCTGGGGCTTAGAATGGAAACTTGATAGAAATTTCATTTTAGCTGCTGGCCCTCTAACGAATGATTTGCTGCACAACCTGAGCCGTCCACTGGGAAACCAGGATTCTAACTCTGTGGCAGGAGACGAAGGCATTTTCATGTGTCGCCAGCCACTGCCGGCTTTCCTGCCAGAGTACTTCAGCAGTATTTATGCCAGTAAGATCACCCATTATAAAGTATTTCTGTCATGGGCACAACTTCTCCCAGCTGGGAGCTCCAAGAGCCCAGACGAGAAAACGGTGCAGTGCTACCGGCGACTCCTCGAGACCGTCAAAGCTGCGCAGCTTCAGCCCCTGGCCGTCCTGCACCACCAGACCCTTCCCGCCGGCGTCCCCCGCGGAAGCGAAGTCTTGGCTGATCTCTTTGCAGACTATGCCACATTCGCCTTCCACTCCTTTGGGGACTTAGCTGAAATCTGGTTCACTTTTAGTGACTTGGAGGAGGTGATAACAGAACTCCCTCAGCAGAAATCAAGATCTTCACGTCTCCAGACCCTCGCGGACGCCCACCGAAAAGCTTATGAGATTTACCACGGAAAATACGCTTCTCCGGGTGAGTACACAGGCCTGATGGCGGACGCACAAGCAGCCTTTGTCACCCACCTGCCCCTGTCCTCCTTAAAGCAGGACTCAGCTTTTCTTCCCACTCGTCGTCGATAGTCCCATCATAGCTATTCGGTAGAGAGATTAATGTTGTAGGGAAGATTTCCCAGAGGAGATAGGTAGGGGGTTAGACTGCGGAGTGCCCAGCACTCCCTTTGGAAGAGACCTGCTAAGTCTGTGCCGCCCCCGGGCCTCTTCCTCCGTCCCTCCTTCTCCATCCTGCCTCCCTGACGCTTCCAAGCGGCAGGACTGCCCACCCTACCTCGGCCTTCCCCTTTCCTTATGAAAAGCAACTTACACATTCTGGTTGAAGTTTGCATTCCAGCAGAGGAGACAGACACACACAAAGGTAAAATAATGGCATTCTGCTGGGTGGTGAAAAGAGCATCATTTCAATTGTCCATGTCCTTGCTTCACAGCTAACTCGAGGTTGTGATTCAGCAGATCTGGGCAGGACCAGGACATGTGTGATTTTAACAAATTCTCTAGATGAATCTGAGGTACCATAATTTTGAGAACCCATTTTGGATTATACATGCTTTCTTGTGTTTACTGTATACATGCAGTATGTAATACGTGCATGCCTGTATATTCTACTTTATAAGTATATTCTCATTTTATTAAAATCTCTTTGAAGGCATGATTTTCCAAGGGCTTATAGGTTCCCATAATATGACTGGATCATAAAATTTAAAATATTGCTCTCATTTTAATATACGTTTATTTAATTTTTATTATTACAAATTATAAACTTGTATATATATAAATGGTTACCTAACTTCTGACAAGTTCTTTCTAATAGACTCTTCGAATTTAAAATTACTGACTCAAGAGATGGGCATTCTTTAAGACTTTAAAGCATGTTGCTAAATTATTTTCCTGAAAAGTTGTAGTAGTTTATATCAACAGTTACAAAATTGTTCTTCTGACCCCACTCAGCCTATTTTATCATTGGAAATTTGAGAGCTAAAAACTATTATCTCCTATATTCTTCGCTTGCATTTATTTGATTATAGAGAGGTTAAACCTATTTTTTCTGCGTGAATAAATAAAGGCGTGTGCGTACCGAGGGGCTGTCTCAGTCAGGGTTGTGAGGAAGGCAGGGCTCGGCCGCCCGCGCTCTGGGCGCTGAAGGAGGGGTCCGGCCTTGAGGTCTGGAGAAGAGGATTGCGGGTCAGGGGAGAGTGTGAAGCCCCGGCGGCAGCGGGAACAGCGGAGAGCCCGCTGTCTGTCTAGTGAACTGGGAATGGAGGGTGGCAGATGAAGAGATGCTGGATTGGAAGCTGGGTTCTTCGGAAAGCATGTCTTCGGGTGTGGGAGCAAATAAATGTTTGCTGACTATAATTCTGCTGAAGAAGCTCTGAGTAAAATGAACTTCAGAAGAGGGCAAGACAGAACGTGGATCATCTCAAATAAAGGAACTTCTATTTTGAGTCAGATTCATAGAATTACTTAAATTACAAAGTTATATATACGTGTTTATTAAAATGTTTTTGCATATTTTATTTTTAATTTATATCAGGTTACTAAAGACTTTCTTTTTTTCTTTTTTTAGGACTATTTCTTTTTTAAACTACATTTCCTTCTTTTCTTCTTGTGCTCATTTTCCCCATCCTTTATTTTGTTTCATCAATATCACTAGATTATCTGCCCCTAACATAATGCAGGAAACAAAATAAATTCTCTTTCTAGTCTTTTTATTATTTCAAAAGGTGGTCTTCCCCTTCTCTCTTTCTTTCTCTCCCTCTCTCTTATTCTCCCCTCCCTTTTTTGTCTAATCATACCCCTGTTGTTCTTTTTAAAATATATTATTTAATATATTTACTTATGTTGGTTAAAAGCAAAATACTGTAACAAATACACATAGAGTGACCACTCAATCCAACAATTAAAATATAACATAATATCACTTCATAACATCTAGGATAGATGTAATAAAAATAGACGGACAATAATAAGCATTAGAGATAATGTGGAGAAATTGAAACCCTCAGGCACTGCTGGTGGAAGTGAATAATGGTGTGGCCGATTTGGAAAATAGTCTGGCATTTCCTCAAGTTAAACTGTAGAGTTACCATATAATTCAACATGTCCTCTCCTGGGTACATGTGCAAGAGTAATAAAAACAAATGTCCAGACAAAAACTCGTTACAAACATTTACAGCAGCATTATTTATAATAGCCAAAAATAGAAACAACCCTAATGTCCACCAACTGATGGATAAACAAAATGAGGTATATAACATTCAATGGACTATCATTCAGCTTTAAAAAGAATGAAGTATTGATACATACTACAGGATGGTGAGCCTTAAAGACATTATGCTAAATGAAAGTAACCAGTCACCGAAGACCACATATTATATGAATCCTTTATATTAAATGTCCAGAATAGGCAGAAGTATAGAGACACTAAAGTCGGATTTCAATATCTAAGGCTAAAAGAAAATAGGAAGTGGCTGCTACTGGGTATGGAATTTTTCTTTGGGTGGCTAAATTGTTTTGGAATAGTGGAGATTATTACACAGTTTTATGAATATATTAAAAACCACTGAGTTATATACTTTAAAGGGGTCAATTTTTTTCAATTAAAGTTAACATTAAATATTATTTTATATTAGTTTCAGGAGGTATGAGTTTTATGCTATAGCCCTTAATTTTCTGCAATATATATTAATTTTTTAAATGTAAAAAATATAAATGGGAGGTTTGAGGGTTTATAAAATGAAACAAAGCAAACCATACCACAACTTACATCTACTTGTATATTCCCCCCTCCCCTCATTTAGTTTTCTCCTCCCCACTAGGTTACCACTATGCTAAATATTCTGTTTACTTTTTATTATTCGATGGCTTTTCTCCCCATTTGGTGTCCACAATGACTTAAAGGTACAAGGCCAAACATTTTAAATAAAAATTTTTGTTTTTTTACTTACGGAACAGGTGGGATTTTAGCAAATAAAGCACATTCACAGTGTTTTAAAAAATACGTTACAAGCCCTGACTGGCGTGACTGTGGGCTTGACGTCGTCCCGCAAACCGAAAGGGCACAAGTTTGATTTCCAATCAGAGCAACTAATTGATGTTTCTCTACCTGTCTTTCTCCCTCCCTTCCTCTCTCTCTAAAAATAAATAAATAAAATCTTAAAAAATATGTTAAAGAAGTAAATTCCCATTTACTACTGACTAGGAAATACAATGTGAAATGTGGTTCTGATCTTTCCTAAGCTTTTTTTTAGTCAGGGTATGATTTATATATCATGAAATGCATAGATCTTGATTTTACAATTTGACTAGTTTTGGCAAACACATCTATGTAACCCTATGTAATGTTTTATGAAGATAAGACATTAACCAACACCTCAGAAAATTCCCTTTCTGATCAAGTGTATAGATTCCTAATTAATCCTTACCCCCTGAAGCAACCATTGATCTGATTTCTATTAACATTGATATGAATAGAGCCACACAGTTTTTGTGTCTGTCTTCTTTCATTCAGCCTAATGTTTGTGAGATTTATTCATTCTGTTGCTGCATTAGTTATTTGCTCCTTTTTTCCTAAGTAGTATTTTATTATGGAGGTATCACAGTTGAGGAGCATTTGAGCTATTTTCCAGTTTTCATCTGAGTCAAGTGGCTAGGAGTATTCATTCTTGTGTAAGTTTTTATGTGGAACTGTATTTTCGTTTCTCTTAGATAAATACACATGATTGGCATTGCTGAGTCACAGGTGTGCCTGACTTTTTAAGAAACGGCCAGTTTTCCAAAGCCGTCGGCCATGTTACACCCCTGCCAGCGGCACATGGGTGTCCCAGGGGCCCCCCCAGCACCCTCGCCGAGCAGCACTGGCATGTTCGTGTTCTCTGTGTTAGCCATTTTGATGACATCTCATTATGATACCATTACTTCTTAAATATATAATTTTTATCCCACGTGCTTATATGCTTAAACAATACAGTATTTAATTTTGCTTGGTTTGGTTTTGAGACATCATAAAAGAGTATTATACTTTTTGTAGTCCTCGAGGGCTTCCTTTTTTAAAAAACAAAATTATGTTTCCAAGCCTTATCCATGTTGTGGAATATAGCTGTAGCATATTCTTTTTCATTGCTATATAATATTCTATTGTGTGGCTAAGCCACATTTTATTAATTATTTGTCTGCTTATGGACATTTAAATCATTTTTCAGTTATGCTACTATGAACAGAGCTGCTATGAATGTTCTTGTACATATTTCTTTCTGTACACGTGCAAGAGTTTCTCTTCTGTGGGGAATACAAGTGTTTTTAGCTTTGAGAAAGAATGTAAATTCTTTTCCATTGCAGTTGTACCAATGTACATATCCATGAACAACGTCTAAGAGTTCTTGTTTATTAGCCACATTTGTTCCTTCCTCTGTAAAATTCCTATTACATCTCTCATTCATTTATGTATTGAGTTGTCTTTTTCTTGTTGACTTGTCACAATTCTTTATATATTCTTAAATCTAATCTGATTGGTTATATGTAATGATATTTTTATAGTTCATGTCTTCTCACTCTTTCTGTGGAGTCTTTGATGAACAGAAGTTCTTATTGTTAATAACAAAAATTTATCAATTTTTTCCTTTGGTTGATTTTTTAAAATATATTTTGATGGTACTTACAATATTTAAATGTATTTCTTCAGTCTTTAGAATTTCTAGTTTCCAAATGTTTTCACCCCTTTCCCCTCCCTGGTAAATCTCAAAGTTCTTAGGTAATTGTGCATCTTTTCCAAGCCCATTCTTTGGAGAGTCATTTTCTGTCACTTCTATGACATTTCTTAATGGTTGAGGGGCAATCATTAAAAAACTCAGAGATGATCTGCAAATTTGAAAGCCACTCTTGGTTTGTAAGAATTTTTTTCCTTTTTAATCAACACTTTAACAAATTAATGGACTTTATTTTTTAGAACAGTTTTAGATTTATAGAAAAGTTGACCAGATAGTACAGATAAGTGATACTTCATCAAAATTAAAAAGCTTTGTGCATCCAAGGACACTATCAACAGAGGGGGAAAAAACAACCGACAGAATGGGAGAAAATATTTGCAAATTATGTATTTGTTAAGAAGTTAATATCCAGAATATATTTTTAAAACTTCTAACTCTGCAACAACAAAACAAACAACTGTATTAAAAAATGGGCAAAGGTTTTGAATTGATATTTTTTCCAAAGACGTTATGACAATGGCCAATAAGTACATGAAAAGATGCTCTATCAACAATCATTAGGAAACACAAATCAAAACCACAAGATACTTCTCCACGCCCATTAGGTGGCTACTGTTACAAAAGAAAAAGAAAATCATAAGTGTTGTTGAGGGTATAGAGAAACTGCAATCCTTATACATTGTTGGCAGGAATGTAAAATGAGTAGCTACTATAGAAAACAGATTGGCATTTCCTCAAGAAATTAAATATGGAATTACCATATGATCTAGCACTTGTGAGTATGTATGCAAAAACTTGAAAGCAGGGACTCGAACAGATATTTGTATACCTACTTTCATAGCATCATTATTCACAATAACCAAAAGGTAAGAAGAACCCAAATAAGTGCCTATGAATGAATGAATGAATACACTACATGTGGAATATATAAACTATGGTATATTATTCAACCTTAAAAAGAAATAAAATTCTGGCACATGCTACAACATGGACGAACCCTGAAGGCATTATACTAAGTGAAATAAGCAGCCACAAAATATAAATATTATATGATTCCACCTATATGAGGGACCTAGAGTAATCAAATTCACAGAGACAGAAAGTAGAACTGCGGTTTGCAGGAGATGGGAGGAGGGGAAAATGGGGAATTGCTATTCAATGGTGCAGAGTTTTGGTTTGGGATGGCGGGGGCGTTTTAGAGATGGATGGTGGTGATAGTTGCACAACAATGTTAACGTACATAATGCCACTGAACTGTATATTTAAACCTTTTAATGGTAAATTCTGTGTTAACATTTTACCACAATTTTTGAAAAGTTCTTTTCTAATCTTTTTCTATGTTTTATAAACCTCGTGTTGATGTGTTCAGTGTGCCAACACTGAGGAGGATACAAAAGAGGGGCGCTGGCGGAGTTGGAGGGCGGGGAGGAGACCCAACGTCCCGCCCGCGGGAAGAGTAGAACTGCACACAGCGTCTGCCGATTGCGTGACTCTGGGACGCAACGCAGGGCCGCGCCGGTTACCCGACCCACCCCGGCAGTGGAGGCTCGAAGCGTTGATATTAGCAGTTCAATATTGACCAGGTTCCTTTTATTGAAGTATTTGGGCCAAAAGGGAAGGGAGCAAATGGAAAGGGGCTATTTGTGCAGAGGGCGGAAATAGCTTTTGGAGGAATGACTTCCCTTTGTGGTGGAAACAGAACTGAGCTGATCCTCTAGTGAGGTCTGGCAGTGGCTCTAAGGGACAGGGATTTACATGGAGCTACCCAGTGATTTTCTATGCGAGCTTAAAACGGTTAATTCTCAACCCACAACAAATACTGATTTTGAGTCCTATAGACATGAATACCTACCTTTAACCACATCCAGCAAAAAAATTACAAGTAAGTTATCTTAAACCAGAGTAATTACCCCCCTTTCTGTCCCATAGAAAACATGAGCTGCAAGCTTAGATTGAGAATCTAGTTTTGGTTAATCTGCATTTTACATCACTTAAAAAAGTATAGCTTATGTTTAAACTGGGAACCAGTTGGGAACCATATTGGGGAAGTTTGATCATTTTGTATAATATGAGTATTCCTGGAACTTTAAGGTTCATTTGTTCAGTCTGAATTCTAAGAACAGCTTGCAAAGTCAAATAGAAATGATTTATGGGTTAATTGTGCTTAGGGATTAACTGTACCCTTGTTTCATTTTATTGGGCTAGAGATGGTACTAAATCCTACATTTCAAAAAGGTGAAGCACAAGCTGAGAACATATGTTCTATGTGAACTGACGTGATGATAGACTGAAGCAGGGAAATCGGTGGAAGGTAAAGTGCAGCCATCATCAGCACAATCATTAAATAACTGGAAACAGCGTTATCTTATCAGAATGAGAACTCAATTTGTCTGGCTGATATTCCTTGCTCAGACGATTTCAAAGTTCCATTATGCTTATCAAAATAAGCACTTTGTAGTTGGCAGGTGGTTGGTAGTGGTGGTTGCATTGCCTGGAAGATCCTTCTCCTGTACAGAATTTGGATGGAATTCTGCCTTATAGTTTGTGTCAAATGGTGGTTCTATTCCATTTTTGTTTAGTGTTTTCTAATTATAGGTTTGAGTACGTGCCCTGTCCCCAGTCCTAAACTTGATATTTGGAGGGAATAAAGAAATGTTTAAGTTTTGTTCCTCAAGTAGCATACACTCCAGTGAAAGACAAAGGTATATGCGCATCAAAGGGACAGCAACACAAACAACCGAAGGGTCCCAGCCCACAGTTGCGTTTCTCTGAGTGTGTTCTGAGGACCACCACATGGGAAGCACCTGGGAAGCTTGTTACAATACACCTGTTCCTGGGCCCACCCCAGCCTTCTGAGAAGCAGGACGGTGGCTCTGATGCACACATATTTGAGCACCACTGCTGGGTGATGAAATGTCAAAGCAAGTGGGTACAAGCTCCCCTGTTTACATTCCCTGTTGTCCCCCGCTGTGCACAGTAGGGGTTGAACTGATGTTTGTACAGTGAATAAGGCCAAGTAACAGCAGCTCCCTGAGTGCACCCTACCTTTGAAAAGAAGTTGAGGAATCAGGGCAGGGTAACTGCTTCTGCTCTTCTCAAAGACTTTTACAAGTATACTGCATTTCAGAGTCCTGGTTTATGTGAAACATTTGCTATAGGGACATTTTGTAAGCCACCTTATCTTCTAAACTCTTTCAGCTAGGGTTCAGTCATGTGAGTGATTTCTTCAGAAATTCTCTTTAGATCAGTGAACATGGAATAGGAGTTGTTTGATAGGAAATGAGTCCACAAGCGGCTTCCGTGGTCACAGGCTCCGGCCTCGCTCACTGCGCTTCCCTCCTCTGGTTGCTTTCAGGTGGAAAGCTGTCGGTCGTCCTACGAGCTGAAGCGGTCTGGGAGCTGCTGCTAGAACCGTCCACGTCTTCCCTTGCCAAGGTGAGGGCGGTCCCTGAAATAGCATCTGTAACATCTGAGGAAAGTTGAGATTTTCATTTTAAAAACCAAGAGATGTATTTCTCTGTTGGCTTGACACTTCTACAAATGCCTGTTCTGAATGGTATATTTTCTCTAAATTCGTAATTACTTTAAAACAAAATCCCAGCTCCTGCCTCCACAAAGAAGTCAAATGCCTCTGCTTGTTCTGGTTTTTTTATTTAAAAAGAGGTCAGTTTATAGCAAAACAGGTACTAGGACAAAGGATTTGTTTGTTTTTTATATGTAATGGGCTCTGCAGAGCACTCATCCTGGTGTCTACCTCCTCTGAATAGAACTTTTGAACTAGGATTTTAATAAGAAAAGGTAAAACACCCAAGAATTAAACAGCCTTGGCCCTGCGACGCTGGCTGCTGGGCCGTGTGGAAAGCCATCAGGGAAGAGAGCCGATTCCTGTGGTTCTGGGCATTGACCGCTGCCGCACGCTGACAGCGCTGCCCCGTAGCAGACGCTGCTATCTGTGACCAGAGGGAGGCCCCCTACGTCAGCGTCTGGTCTTCAGATTTACAGCGCAAAAACTTAAAATCCAGACAAGGTACGCTCTAAATCACCTGTTCCGAGACTGATTGTACGGCCAGATGCCGTCTTAATTAATTTACAAGGGGCAGTAACAGCTATCAGTTATGAACTCCGGAGACCAAAGTGCTGATCCGAAAAGTGCTTGTGGAGCAAGAGCCTTTGAACTGGTCCCTCTGCCCTAATCCATGCCACGTAGCGCTGCTGAATTATCCTTCAAAAGCACATTTGTGCCCAGTTCCCTGCTGGGAAGTTACGCTCCCCTGAGCTGGTGCAAATTCCTCAGGCTCCCTGCTCTCTCTCTGACCTCACCTCTTATTTTCCCAGCATGCGCTCCACTTTCTTCCTGGCATTCCCTTCTTACCTCCTACCCTTCCTCAAACATCTCATCCAATGAAATCCTACTGATTATTAATGTCCTGTGAACATGCTCTACATCAGGAGGCCTTGCTCAGTAATGCTCCCTTGCTCAACCTGCTGTGCACTCTCCCCACTTGAAACCCTTTGTCATTTGTTCAGACCAGTAGTTCCCAAGTTTTGGTGTTGATCAGAATCATCGGGAGGGCTAGTAAAGCACACAGAGGCCAAGGCTTAAGGTGGAAGAACAGCCCTAGGCCTTCACAGGTGTCCCCAGTTCCCAGGGGAATCTAATTCCCACAAGGTCTGAGGATCCCTGAGAAGGACTTTCCTCATAGCACTTCCGAATCTCTGCCTTTTCTTCATGTAATTGCTGCCTTTACTAACACTCTCTTATTAGGTGGTCAGCACCTGTGGATCTTACTCATCTTTAAACCTGAATCACCACCCACTGTACCCAGTACAGTGACTTTCAAGGGTAGAAACTCAATGACTGTGTGGTACGGACTTGACAAAAGCAAGGGCTGAGAGGGTGGGTCGCAGAAGGTTTAAGTGGTCCTCACCAAAGTGGGGCGAGCGTGTGGAACGCTTAGTAAACACCGATGGCAACGCGAGCGGGAACCCCATAGGGCGCCCGTGGTGAATCAGTTATCCAAGGTCCACAGCACACACGATTGTCACCAGATGCCATTATCCACACTCTTTGTTCTGAAGGAACAGATGATCTTTGAGCAGGAGAAGACAGGCCTTGATGAGAAGGGTGGGGAGGGAATCACGGTGCTTTGGTTAAATGCTTAGATTCTGTGAATCGGCAGTTTTGGGAGTATATGCAGGCCCGAGACGGGGTGGAGGGGTGTGCCCTTCCCTGGAGCACGGGCTTGGGTGTTGAAGACCAGGGCGGTGAGAGCTGTGTTCTCGGTTAATCATACAGGCCAGAGTTGGACCAACTGGGGTGGCTTTAAGCTGTGGCCTGAGAGTAGCCAATGGCTATAGCCTACAATGAAAAGAAAACTCGGTACCCCAATAGGCTCTGCAGAGATCACTGAGGGGCCCATGGGCGGCAAAGGGCTCCACCACCTCTGACAAAGTGGGAGGGCCACTTTGAGGAGAGTGCTCCCCTGGGCAGCTGTGGCCTCTGCCTCCCTCCTTAGTGCTTACCTGCTTGGTGGGAACCCACCATGTCTGGCATCCAGTGCTTCACGCATTCATTCATCCACTTACTCATATGCAACTGAGCACTTACTGTGTGCCAGGCACTTTGCTGAGTACGTAGGCAATACATCCTCAACGACCTGCAGTGCCCCGTCTCAAACACACACATGCACACACTCTTACTCCATCCCCAGCTTCTACTCTGCCTGCTTGTCCCTTGGAAAATCCTACTTTGGAGTATTGAGTTCCATAATCAGGGAGAAACAAAAAGGGGACGCTTCTGAGCAGTTCTTCATCTTAAAATTGCTATGCTCTGATGACCCTGTTCCTTTATTTCTAGGATGCAGTCGATTTCCTTTCTCTTGATTTGTCTTATGAATGCCAAAATGAGGCAAGTTTGCTGCAGAGCCTGAGTGCCTTGCGGGTAAGTTGAGCCATTTCCCATATTGATAAGGAGCGGCAAAGGTTCCTGAGAGCATATTAGGTATTTAACACTCAGCTGATGTGTAAACTGAACTGCCCCCAACGGTCTGCAGGCCTGCAGAATGGTATCTGGGGAGCTTTCTGCTGAAAGCATCGCTAGAGGACATCAAGAGGTTAGGCAGTCTTCCCAGGGAAGGATAATGAGGGCTGACTTGTTCAGGTAAATATTTACATATATCTTCTACTCTTTTGTATAGAACCTACTGAGAATTAAAATTCTAGATCTAAAAGGATATTTCATGGATTTTGGTCATGGTAGCATAACGATGAACTGTACACATAAAAATGGTTGAGATGGTAAATTTTTTGGTATGTATATTTTACCACAGCTTTTTAAAAAGACATTTCACACCCAGGACTGCTAAATCAGATACCAGCTATTGGGACTTTCCTATAACTTCAGGCCCCTTCTTCCTGTACCTAGGGTTTTTTTCCTCAAGTCTAACAATTCTGACTCCTTTGAGAAAGTATGTCAGGTGTCTCCTACCCCAAAGGTAGCTGTCTCTGCTATGCTTGGGCACTGCTGTGCAACTTCCTTGCTTAATTCCCTGGAGTCCCGACTATTCCCCCATCTCCTGACAGGGTATAACTGATTACATAGCCAGCAGTTTCTTTCTGGACCTCCTGAGTCCTAGCAGTACTCCTATACTTACCTCCGAAGAGCTGCCCTCTTGCAGGCCTCTCTCCAGATGCCACCGGAATTCATCCAGGCCTTATTCTGGCCTGAAGGTTCTGGCACAAAGCCACTTGTCTCTACTTTCAGCCCTGTGCGTCCTGGCTTTGATCCCACACCAAGAGGGATGGATTGCGAGAGGAAATACTCATTTAAAGGCCCCGCTTATTAATGTCGAACCCTCAGTGGTGCAGCTAGATAGAACCTCCATTTTTCCTGAGGCAGAAGGCTCAAAATGGACAAATTAGCATCAGTCCCACCCCCATATCTCTGTCTTCCCAGCCAGCCAGTGTAGATGCTGTTACTTTTGTTATCTACAAGTAATGAGACGATCTCATCAAAGATAGCAGATGCCTTCACAAGACATTAGAGTAATAGCTGCTAGGGTTTCAGTGCCTGCTCTGCCCCAGGCACTGCATGGAGCATGTTATCCTCACATTCTCTCTACTCCTCACAGCACACCCAAGACTTCAGACACTTAATTAGTGTCAGATGCTAGGTAGTGAGTGTCTGAGCTGGGAGTGGAACCGGGGCTTTCTCATGACACCTCCCTGCCTCTCTAAAACAAAAATAAGTCCAAGGTGTTGGGATATTCTAATTAGGGTGGCGTTTTTGAAAACCACATATGATTTCAGTTGTTTTTGTGAACACCTTCTCACCTGAACCCAGAGCCTGCATTTGTGGGCCTGCTGCCAGATTTCTTAAACGTGCTGTTTGAGGCCTGCAGTTGCATATAATGACTAAATCTGCCTTTGGGAGGCTTCCAGTCAAGAGGGCAACATAGGCAGATGTGACTTGCCTCTTTGCCTCTTCAGACAAGCAACAGCTGGCTTCAGTGAACCCAGCAGCAACCAGATTAGAGTCACGGCTTGGCTCACCTAGGAATCTTCAAGCCCAGCACAAGTAGCAGCCATCTCAGATTACTCTACAGCTCAGGTGGGCTGTCCCAGGCAAAACCCAGGTGGGGGCTGCCCTTGGCTTCCACCACCTGGGAAACTCCAGGGCCAACACACACAATGGACAGCTACAGACCATCACCGTTGGAGAACCACCACCCTGTCCCTGCACAGCTAATTCTCCGTGGATGGCAGAAGTTGGTGCTCAGTGGTCACAGCCAGTCCTTGCAGCTGACTGGCCTGGGTAAATCCCTCCCATTGATTTGCCAACAGCAACCAAGACTCAACTACAAGAGGATGGTGTACTTAGCCCACACAGAGGGCGTACCTCAAGTCCCAAGCTTGGGTGATAGGGGAGGCTGCGTCACTGTAACCTACAAGGCGCCTACTCCATTAGGCCGTACTACCAAGACATGGTATCAAAGCAGCTCTACCTAATATATAGAAACAAACACAGAGAGGTTGCCAAAATGAGGAGACAAAGAAACATAGTCCAAATGAAAGAACATATCAAAACTCCAGAAAAAGAGCTAAATGAAATGGATATAAGGGATTTATCAGATGCAGAGTTCAAAACACTGGTTATAAGGATGCTCAAGAAACTTACTGAGGGCCGCAGCAGTATAAAAAAACCCAGCCAGAAATGAAGGACACACTCATTGAAATAAAGAACAATTTACAGGGAAACAACAGTAGAATGGATGAAGCCAAGAATCAAATCAATGATTTAGAACATTAGGAAGCAAAATAACAGCCGCACAGAACAATAAGAAAAAAGAATTTTAAAAAATGAGGATAGTATAAAACAGCCTCTGGGACAATTTTAAGAGGTCCAACATTCACCTTATATGGGTGCCAGAAGGAGAAGAGAAAACAAGAAATTGGAACTCTATCTGAGAAAAAAATAATGAAAGAAAACTTCCCTAATTTGGTGAAGGAAATAGATGTGCAAGTCCAGGAAGAGCAGAGAGTCCCAGTTATGAGGGATGCAAAGATGCCCACTCCAAGATGCCTGATTATCAAAAGGCCAAAAGTTAAAGCTAAAGAGAGACTTTTAAAAGCAAAAGAAGTTAGTTATTGGAATGTTGACTGGGAATGTTGACTGATGGGAGGGAAGAGGAGGAAGATCAGAATGGGTGCAGAGGTGAGGGGATTGAGAAGCACAAATAAGGAATTCTGGCCAAGATGGAGGTGTAGGTAGGTACGCTTTGCTTCCTCGCACAACCAAGAGAAGGAAAACAACCAATTTAAAAACCAAAAAACAACCAGAACTGCCAGAAAATCAAAAGTATGGAATACTTTTTGGAAGTATGGAAATGTATGGAAGTCCAAAAACCAAGGAGTTAAAAAAGCAACATTCATCCAGACTAGTAGAAGGGGCAGAGATGGGCAGCCAGGGCAGAGAGAGCATGTGACAAGGCAGTGGCTGGCAGACCAGGGCAGGAGAGGCAGTGGCTGGCAGACTGGAATACCCTACATTTGCATGTGGATAAGCTGGGAGGGACAACTGGGGAGTGGGACAGTCCACGCAACTCAGAGTTCCAGTGCAGGAAACTAAAGCCTCAAAACCTTTGACTGTAAAAACCTGTGGAGCTTGCAGCAGCAGGAGAAATACCCAGCCTCATGGGAGAGTCTGTTGGAGAAGCCCATGGGATTCTAGAATGCACACAAGCCCACCACCCAGGAGTTAGCACCTAAAAGGGCACAATCTGCTTGTGAGAAGCGAGGGAAGAGATGGAAAGTGGGGCGAGAGACGAGTAAGCTAGGAACAGCATTGTTCCTTCTCCAACCCTCCCTCCACATACGGTGCCACCACCCCACTCTGCAGAATGCCTGAGGCTCTGGCCCTTCCAATGTAACAGGTGCACCAAAACAAATAAATATGGCCCAACTGAAAGAAAAGATCATAACTCAAAAAAAGAACTGAGTGATGATGAGATAGACAACCTATCAGATGCAGAGTTCAAAACACTGGTAATCAGCATGCTCACAGAAATGGTTGAGTATGGTCAGAAAATAAAGGAAGAAATGAAGGCTATACAAAGTGAAATAAAGAAAAATATACTTGGAAACAACAGTGAAGGGAAGGAAACTGGGACTCATATCAACTATTTGGAACAAAAGGGAAAAATAAACATCCAACAGGAACAGAATGAAGAAACAAGAATTCAAAAAAAATGAGGAGAGGCTGAGGAACCTCTGGGACAACTTTAAATGTTTCAACATCCAAATCATAGGGGTGCCAGAAGGAGAAGAGGAAGAGCAAGAAATTGAAAATTTATTTGAAAAAATAATGAAGGAAAACTTCCCCATCTGGCAAAGGAACTAGACATGAAAATCCAGTATGCTCAGAGAGTCCCAGAAAACTTAGATCCAAGAAGAAACACACCAAGACAGAGCATAGTTATATTACCAAAGATTAAAGATAAGAAGATAATCTTAAAAGCAGCAAGAGAAAAGCAGAGTTACCTACAAAGGAGTTCCCATAAGACTGTCAGCTGATTTCTCAAAAGAAATTTTGCAGCCTAGAAGGGACTGGTAAGAAGTATTCAAAGTCAGGAAAGGCAAGGACCTACAACCTGGATTACTCTATCCAGTGATGCTATCATTTAGAATGGAAGGGCAGATAAAGTGCTTCCCAGAGAAGGTAAAGTTAAAGAAGTTCATCATCACCAAGCCATTATTATATGAGATGCTGAAGGAACTTATCTAAGAAAAAGAAGATGATCAAAAACTATGAGCAGTAAAATGACAACAAACTGACAACTATCAACAACTGAACCTAAAAAACAAAAACAAAAACTAAGCAAACAACTAGAACAGGAACAGAATCACAGAAATGGAGATCATGTGGAGGGTTATCAGTGGGGAGGAGGAGGGGGAGAATAGGGGAAAAGCTACAGGGAATAAGAAGCATAACTGGTAGATACAAAATAGACAGGGGGAAGTTAAGAGTAGTGTAGGAAATGGAGAAGCCAAAGAACTTACATGTACAACCCATGCTCAGAGATATGAACTAAGGTGAGCAGGGGTGGGGAGAATGCTGGAGGGAGTTGGGGTGAATGGCAGAGGGGTATAAAGGGGAGAAAAAATTGGACAACTTTAATAGCATAATCAATAAAATTACTTCTTTTAAAAAGCACAAATAGTTACAAAATAGCCATGTGGATGTAAAGTACAGTATAGGAATTGGAGAGCCAAAGAACTTATATGTATGACCCATGGACATGAACAATGATATGGGGGGATTGCCTGAGGGAGTAGGGGACACTGGGTGGAGGGGGGCAGGGGGAAATCAGGACAACTGTAATAGCATAATAAAATATAATAAATAATGAATAAATAAATAAATCTGTCTTTGGTCCTCTTCAAGGACTTCAAAAGAGTTTGCTGCTTAGCTAACAGGTTGAGGCACGCTGACATTTGAGAACACATGGTTTGTTTATGCAGGTCCAGCCCTCAGAGAGGCGCCCAGCAGAGCCCTGGTTCCTTTTCTGCTTGAGGATGTGGGTTATAGTTTCCCTTTTTACAGTAAAACACTCTCAAGAAGACTAGCTCCCACCAGTGTCTAGATAAAGCTATGAACCCTCAGTTTATAGCCCACTAGCCAAATAGTAAACCTTCCCTGGACAAACGTAGCAGCCACTTATTATACCCTGTACCAGGTCTTTATTCCTTTTGTTTCCTTAGATGGGAATTAAAAACCAGATGTTGCACTTGACAGCTCAGAAACAGCCCTCTAAAGAGTCAGGATGACCACTCTGATTATGCAGTGGTGAGAAGTGAGCTGGAGAGGAGAGGGTCCCTCTCTGGGATCGTTAGTTCCATGCCTGGTAGCATTTCCCATACAGTATCACACCCAGGATGGGAAGAGCAGCCAAGATCTCCCTGCAGAGAGCGGCTGCCCTGTGTCCAAAGGAATCTGAATTGTGCTGCCCTCGGCTTTCTCCTGATCTTCTTCCCCTCCCTCCTCATCCCAGGTCCCCGCACGTGCCTCTTCAAGGGGCCTCTTCCCATGGGCTGCGAGGGAAGAGGGCAATGTCAGGGCAGGGAGGAGCAGACACCCTCACCCATTCCCAGCTTCCCCCACTCCCCTCAGAGCACCTGCCTGCCTCTCTCTGTGTCCCAGGGACCTTTAGCAGTCGCTTCCATGGTCATGTTGATGTGTAGGGCCAGAGGACATCCTCGGGTCCAGCACAACGATGAAGAGCCATGGCACGTCCACAGGTTCCTCAGGAGCTACACAGGGTCCCACAGCCACATATCAGAAACGGCTCTACTCACCCTGGGAATTCCCTGCTCAGCAGCCAGCTCCTCCAGCTCTTCCTTCCCATGATAGATGGCACAGGCCTCCCTGCTGTGCACTGATTTCTCAGGAAGGAAGAACCTGCGCAGCTCCCTTGGTAGTGTAGCTCTCCTGCCTTGACCCAGGGAAAGAACAAGGCTGGGTGAGTGCTGCTCCACTAACTGTGGTCCTGGTCAACTTATCTGGCTCCTCAGAGCTTAAGGTATTTCATCTGTAAAGAAGGGATGTGATTACAGGCAGCTTTGAGAAAATAAAGAACATGCCTGGCTCCTTTTCCAGTAGCTGCTGTTGGTACCTCTCAGTGGCCTTTATCTGCTCAGAGAAGGACAAAGTTAGCAAGGGAAAAAGGATCAAACCCAACGTACCCAACAAAGATAATTTAAAGTGAAGTCAAACAACATGCCAGCCTAGAGATGTTTCCTTTGAAATTGAAATGCCTGGAAATGGGAGAAAAAATTATACCTGCTGAAGTTTTAATGGAAACAGCTCCTCTTATCTTTTTATTATGGAAAATGTCAAACATAACCAAGGTAGAAAGGAGAGTCTAATGAAATCACCCCCAGCTTCAAAATCTATCAACTTGTGGTTGATCTTGTTTCTTCTATACACTACCATCTCCCTTCAAAACCAGATTGCTTAGAAGTAAACCCCAGACATCCATAAATATCATGATGGTGGCACCTGATTAAGCTTCTTGTGATTCAAACCCCTGACAAGAGCAGAATGCCTTGTCACTGAACTTAATACAGAGCCTGGTTCTAGGAGGTGCCTTGTCAGCCGGCAATGGAAACACAGATGAACCTATCTCTTTGCTGGGGGTTATGGGGAGGGTAGTCTATGTTACTGAAAAGTATAACATTTCTTCCTCTGAGTCTAGAGTCAGCTCCCTTTTTTCGATTTATTTTTAGAGGGGAAGGGAGGGAGAAAGAGGGGGAAGAAACATCAATGTGTGGTTGCCTCTTATGTGCCCACTACTGGGGACCTGGCCCACAACCCAGGCATGTGCCCTGACTGGGAATCGAACCAGCGACTCTTTGGTTTACAGGCCTGCACGCAATCCACTGAGCCACACCAGCCAGGGCTAGAGTCAGCTCCCTTTATTACTTGAGATGGCTAGAGGTAACTTCCAAAACCAGATTGAGTACTTGTAGATTCTTGTCTTGAAATATATGTCCCTGTTACCAAAAGGCTTATTTCAGGCAGTTTTGGTTCACCAGCTGGCATTTATCTTTTTCAGACTGTTGAGCCAAAAGTGAAAGTTTTCATCTTCAATCTGAAACTCCAGGACTGCCCCTCCACCAGGAATAACCCAGCTGAGCTCTTCTTCAGGCTTTTTGAAAGTAAGCGGACCATTACTGGACAGGTTTTGCGTGACATTCGGCGCACTGATTGGGGGATAGTGGTCTTGAAAGTCTGGAGTTCCAATAGGAGGAGGGAGCCAAGAAGAGTGAGTCTGGGTTCCCTTGCCTCCCTATTGTCAGTCCCCTAGCTTCTGCTGACCCAAGAAAGACTACAGGTTCTGTTCAAGGATGCCAAGGATGCCTTGGTCTTATGGGAATAAGATGGCAGGCGTAAGCATGGGAACTTCTCCGTGCCTCCCTGTGCCCTTCATTGCCACTCCCCTTCAAGGTTTCTCACCTCTGTAGCCCTTAGCAGGGCTGCCTCTCGCCGCCCCTCCCCACCGCCAGCCCGCTCTGCTTACCCTTGTTCATTTCCCCGTTACCTCAACTTGCACTTGGCCCTGGTGGGTACCTGACCAATGTAGCGTTTCCTCAGTATCTCAAATTCTTGAGAGTGAATCTGATTGGTTGGCACGATATAGATTACTCCTTGTCCAGTTTGGTCAAGGGAAAGGTGGAGTCTGTTACAGGATCAGGGGCTGAGGGCCACTAGACGCACTGCAGAAAAGGGTCAAGGGGTATGTTTCTGGTGCCTTGATATTCAGTCCAGTCGCCCTGTAAGGTCAGAACATGGGACACGTGACTTGTAACCAGTGCAGAGCTGGCTTCACAGACATCATGGAACTTGTCCATAGATGCCACTTAATAACCCCTACCCTAACTCATCTTTCATGGCATGACAAATTCTGTTCTTAAATTCCATCCCTTTCTAAATGGTTAGAGTTGTCAATTTTATGTTTAATGTATAGTTTACTACAATTTTAAAAAATAATCCACCCTTTCTGATATTTGACCTTCTAAATGAATTGTTCTCTGTGTGGTCCCCAGACCAGCAGCCTCAGCACCACCCAGGGCAGTCCCACTCTCAAGCCCACTTCAGAACAGAAACCGGTCTGAAGCTCTGGAGTGGGCCCAGCCATTGGTGTTTAGTAAGCTCTATAGGTGATGCTGGTGCACACAGTTTGAAAACCACTGATCTAAGTCATAAGAAAGTAGAAACTGCTTCTGTCTTCCTTAAATGCTTAGCTTCAGGTAGAGTTACTTAAACTCCTTCTCTTACAGCCATCAATAAAGAGCAAGCACTCGCCATTGGGTGTGATGGTAATATATTCTTGAACTGTTCATCAAATTCCAAGAAAAGGTAAGATTAGATTTCTTTTCAAGCTACCAATAACTGATATTTGCAGAATGCTCTGCTGTTCTTTCACATGTATAATCTCACGAGACTGTTGTCATCTGCCTTTCAAACCAGTGAGTTCATTATGACATTCTAGAAAAGAGAGATGAAGGCTCAGAGGGGAAAGCAGGGAGAACCCATCTCTCCTGAATCTTACTCTAGGTGCAACGTGGTTCTGGCAGTCTTGCCTATCATTCGGCCACTTTGCAATTCACGCAACTAGCAGAGCTGGGAGTTGAACCCCTGCTTGCTAGTTTAATATCCTGTGAGTTTATGGCAGAGAAGGCTGGAATAAAGATAGATGTGACCACCCCACTGTGGCCACCTGACCTGAGTGAGTGAGGTTAGTCCTCTGCATCTGTTTCCTTACACACAATGTGGAGCATCTTCCTCTGAGGAGACGGTGTAGATAGGAAAACTGGCTGTTGCCATGGGGCAGAAGCCTAACTCAGTGGCATTCTCAGGACAGAGATTTTTATGTATGGTGGGGTTGCAAATAATTCCTTAACAAATGACTAAAGCACCAACATTTGTAAATGACATACTTAAAAAAAAATAGAGCAGATTTGAGGTTACCCCCATAAATATGGGACTCTCACGCGTTCATATTCCAATGTGCTTCTTGAGCGAGCGAGAAAGGGACGATATGGAAACCAGCACCGGCAGCTCCCCAGAGCCCTCAGCACTGCATGGGGATGTATTACACATGAAGGGAGCCCGGGCACCCTGCATTAAAGAGGGACAAAGGCTGGCAGAGGCAGCCCGTGGGCTGCCCAGACCTTCAGCTAGAGCTCTTCTTGTCATTCACCTCAGCATGGCTCTGTCCGAGGTCGTAAACTTCAGTCACCACCGCCTCTTTGTACTTTTCCTCTCCCAGCTCTTGGCCGTCCTGCGCTGTATCTCCTTCTATTATTTAGTCCTGTCAACTCACTTCAAGTCCGCAGTTCAGAACAACAGGCCCTGAGCAGGTGCTACATGTCAGGCTTTGTGCTGGGAGTATGAACAGTGCAATGAGCAAATAGGTCAGAACTGCTCCCTGACCACACTTGGAGTCAGCTGAGGAGTGCTGGGCTATGCCTTTTCAGAAAGTAAAACTCCGGAGGTCATAATAAAAGGGGTACCTTGAGCACTTAGTGATTATAAAACCACGAGGTGATACATGGCATCAGTTCCAAGGTTATCTAATTCCTTGATCTCTTGGTGCTTTGCCTGAAGGGAAGGTACCATTGGCTAATGTTCAACTGACAGTGGCGGTGGTTGGGGGTGCGAGGGAGGTCCTCGCCCAAGTCAGTGTTGACAGAGAGCCTGCCGGGAGCAGGGGCAGTTGGGCGGGGGTGGGTTTCCAGGAGGCCTAATTTTGTCTTCTCACTTGAGAATTTTAGACCTCAAAAGTGAGTCAGAGAGGCCCATAAGTGACTCTTACACAAGAGTGTGGCCTGAAACTCAGCACTGCTCCCCAGAGAAGAGAGAAGAGTCTTATCTGGGAGTCTCTGAGGTGGCTCAGAGCTGGGACTGGGTCGGCTAAAGGACGGACAGCTGGAGGGGCTGGGCCGAGACCGAGGCTTTGCGTGCTAAATCCCTTCCCAAGCTAGGAAACCCAGGACTCCCAGCTCCAAGGTTTACGGGGCAGGTTCTAGTTTATCCAGGGGCAGTTAATTTATTTCCTCAAGACCTTTTTTCTTCTAGGCTGGGACAGTCAGGGCCAGAGCACTGAGGCTATGCACAGAGTGGGTGCCACCTGTGTCCCTGTTGTGTTCCATTGTCATATGTATGTTTTGGATAATTCATGACTGTAGATCATCATTTTCCCCCACCATTCTCCTAGCAAATGTGGATGAGTTGATCCTTCACAAAACAGGGGGCACTTGGGTTGGGAAGGCCCAGGCTTCCCTTCATGGGATGGAGGTCCCTCCACAGCGCCCCTGTCACTTCTACCAGTTCTTCACTCTGGGCCAACCTAGCATAAGTGCCACCCCCTCCACAGCTCATTTCTCCCAGGTGTGCTCTCCTCGCCAAACCAGACTCGCCCACCTGGACCCGCCCTCCTTCAAGCTGCCCTCTGCTGGTGGAACTGCAGCAGGCCACGGTGCGGTGCTTTCCAGCCTGTGGGACATGACTCATAGACTGGGAAATCAGTTTAGAGCTTTGATTCGAAACAGTAAAAAACAAACAGTTTCCAAAAAATGAGAGCATTTTTATCCATTTTCTTTCAGATATATTTATTTCTGAAATAAAGCATAACACAAAATATGTATGGACATCTATACATCTACACACATAGTGATATATGTTTAAAAGTATAGACTCTGTGCTCTACCATTTGCAAGCTCTGTGATCAAGGAGAAGTTTTCATCAGGAAAAAAAAGCCAAGATATGAGTTCATTTACATAAATAAAGTTTGGAGGTGGACGGTGGCCATAATCATCAGGCATCCAGCTCCTGTCTTTTGTCACTCTTAAGTAGGCTTCAGCCTCGTGAGCCAGCACGGACACTTCTGCTGGGAAACATTTGCTAACCAGTCCAAGGCAAAAGGTATCTTTCCTGCAGGATGTTTTTCCTAAAGGCTTCCTCTGGGGTGTCTCCCCGTGAGCCTTTAACATGGAAAGAGGCTGGGCTGACGTTATGGTCACATCCAGGCGGCATGAAGAAGGGAGCTTATGGCCGGTGTCAATCTTTAACTGGTGCACGTCAGCAGAACTGTACCAGTAGCTCAAGTTTGGAAACATTGCTGCACCAGCTGGCAAACAGCTGCTGGTCCCTGCTGCCAAGTTGCTCATTTCTTTGTCTCAGTTTCCTCTGTAGGATGAAGATAAATAATTATGGTACCTAGCTCATAAATTTATTGTGAAAATTAAATGAGATAATATACATGCAATTTTATCACAGTGGCCAGCACAGAATCAAGGCTCAATACATCAAAGTCAACATTATTCTTAGCTATATGTTATAAGCAAAGATTATGAGAAGGAAAAAAGTATGGCATCAAAATCGAAGGCGATATTCAAGGGTGAGCTAATACGGAGAGCAGCAGCATTGGTACAGTACCTGAACTCATGCGGGGGCAATCATAACTCAACTAAGAAGGGGTAATAATAATAATTTTTCCATCTACCAGTCACTTCCTACCCATGACTCTGTAGATACGACTTTCCATTCAGTGTTTCTGGTATCTTTACTGATTAAACACATCACTGTTCATCAACCTGGGGCATTTGTTACTCAGAGTCATTACTTATTATGTTCTTTTATGTCACTTCAATCCCGTAGCAGGTCTTGTTCTCTGACTGACAGCCTGACCCTTCAGGCTGCCCAGCAGAGGAACTTCAAGATGACAGCAGGCTCCTCGCCGCCCAGCTCAGCCTACCAGAGAGTCCAGGAAACATTTGCTAACCAGTCCAAGGCAGAACGAGATGCTTTCCTGTGGGATGTTTTTCCTGAAGGCTTCCTCTGGGGTGTCTCCACGGGAGCCTTTAATGTGGAAGGAGGCTGGGCTGAGGACGGAAGAGGGGCAAGCATCTGGGACCAACCTGGACTCCAGAAGGCCACCAAGGACCAAGCAACGCCAGCCGTGGCCAGTGACAGTTACCACAAGGTGGACTCTGACGTCTCCCTGCTTCGTGGCCTCCGAGCTCAGGTCTATAAGTTCTCCATCTCCTGGTCCCGCATCTTCCCCACTGGGCACGGAAGCAGCCCCAACCTCCGGGGTGTCGCCTACTACAACAAGTTGATCAATAGCCTGCTGGACTCGCACATCGAGCCCATGGCCACGCTTTTCCACTGGGACCTGCCACAGGCCCTGCAGGATCGAGGTGGGTGGCAGAATGAGAGTGTGGTGGACGCCTTCCTGGACTATGCAGCTTTCTGCTTCTCCACCTTTGGGGACCGTGTGAAGCTGTGGGTGACCTTCCACGAGCCGTGGGTGATGAGCTATGCGGGCTACGGCACTGGCCAACACGCACCGGGCATCTCCGACCCAGGGGTGGCCTCTTTCAAGGTACTTCTCATCTTTGCATCTCCTACTCATTGAAAGAGATAGGACATTTGGCTGGAAGACAGTCATTTTATCTTCGCATCAGCAAGTGTTTACTTTTTTCTTTTAAAGGAAATCAGAGGGAGGGAAAAAACTATAAATCATTTATCACTTGATTTTGTCCAAATACTGTGCTGGCACTTTAAAAATAGTTATTACATCCTCAGAACAACTCTGATGGATCAGGAAATTGGGGGCCAGGAAGAGAAACAGTTTGGTTACAATGACATTACTAGTGGGTTCATTTAAAGCCAGAATTTGAGCCCAAGCCTACCTGACTCCAGCACAAGTTTTCTGTGTCATCCAACACTCTTAGCTGCAAGTGACAGAAACCCAATCCAAATTTTAAAGTAGGTAAGGAATTTATGAGTTCAGGAAACTGAAAAGTCTTGGTTTTACGTGATCAGAGTGGAGCTTGATCAGACCACAAATGATGTTGCAGGGACCCAGTTTTTCTTCTTCTCCTGCTCCCCTTGTTGGCTTTATTCTTGGGCTACTTTGTAGCCAGATGGCAACAGCCTTGCGCTCATGTATTAAGGTCAGTAGGAAAAAAAGCTTGTCTCTGCCTGTCATTCCCAGCAAAAGTCTCCCTGTGTCTCCTGGTCTCAGTGTGGGTCACATGAGTCCCCTGAACCAGTCACTGTTTGGGCTAGGGGTCTGTGGGGCACTGACTGATACCAGTCCCAGCTGTATCCCTCAGCACACCGGCTGAGAGGCAGGGAAGTGGGGGAGGTGGGGAATGCGTTGGCTTTCAGAGAGCTGTCAGGGTATCATTTTGACAAGAAGGAGATGTATGTAATGGAGGTGAAATTAACATGGATTCATATGGCTTTCTTCCACCATTTTCCTTTTTCTTCAAAATCTCCGAGGAAACCCACCAGCTTTCCCTGGCAACATTCTTCAGGATAGACGTGTTAGTCTGGCTTTCCCCTGCCACACTATGCATTTGGTTCCGAAATGAGCACTTACTGTGCGCCATGCTAGGTGTTAAGGAGGATACACAGCCCGTGCCCTCAAGATGTTAAACATTTTGGGGAAGATGATACTGACACATATAAGGATAGAGACACATATAAGGAAAACAATTCAAAAAGTCCACAATTAGAGTGAGCTGGAATACTATGAATAAATGACTCAATAAAATGTCAAAAATTAGAGCACTTAAGATTTCCGTGTTCAGACGTGAGGTCGTCCGTTAAGACTGACCTGTGGTCGGAGTTGGAACCTCCAGCTTCAGCGTGATCGTGTTTCTCCAGTGTTACCTCAATGAACAGGGAGACCGGGTCTATACCCTGAAGAAGTTTGACCCTATGGAACAACAGACCTGCTCAGCCTGTCCTGCTCAGTTCTCCCCAGACGACAAATACTCTAGGCACCGAATCACCATCAAGAAACGTTTCAAGGTGCTGATGACCCAGCAACCATACCATGTACTCTGAGGGTCCCTTAAATTTCATGTCTTTTCTGCTGCCTGCTACCCCTCTGAGACTTTCTGAAACCAAGCTCTTCAATTTGTGAGCCTTGAAGACTTCTTGCCACACTTGCTTTTTGGAATCCAGTGTCATCATTATCTTTGATCATGTGTGTGCGAGGCGATCATGGTAGCATCACTTAAAAGGGAACAAGTTTGAATATGTTTTTCATATTTGACTTACTGTCATATTTGACTTACTGTTTTTCATATTTGACTTACTGGAAAAAAAAAAGATTCCCATGTTCAGCAAGTGAGTTCACAATGAAGAGTCAACACTTCTGAAAGAGGAAAGTTTGAACCTTTCTGTTTCCCCTTGTTGTGAAACTCATTCAAACCTTTTCTCCTTAGGCTTCTTTTTATCTAATTTAAAAAAATCAATTACAATTACATTCAGTGTTATATTAGTTTCAGATGTACAGCATGGTGGTCAGACACTTACATAACTCACAAGTGATCTCCCAATGTCTAGCACACCCTTCACACAAGGCATAGTTATTAAAATGATATTCACTATATTCTCTATGCTGTATTATGCATCCTCATGAATGTTTTGTAACTGCCAATTTGCACTTCTTTTTTAAAATGTTTTTAAACATTTTTATTTATTGATTTTGAGAGAGAGAGAGGAAAGGAGAGAGAGATCGGGGATTGAACCCACAACCTTGGCATAATGGGGTGACATTCGAACCAACCAAGTTGCCTTGCCAGGGCCAATTTGTACTTTTATTTTAAGTAATATAACTTTTAAAAAAATATGTTATTGATTATGTATTACAGCTGTCCCAATTTTTTCCCCTTTGTCTCCCTCCATCCAGTACCCCTGTTACCTCCAGCAATCTCCCCCGCCCTAGTACCTGTCCATGGTCATGCATATAAGTTCTTCCATTCTTTATAAGTCCTCTATTTCCTGTACTGTGCTTAACCTCCGCCTGTCTATTTTGTACCTACCAGTTTGTACTTCTTAATCCCTATACCCTTTCCCCCATTCTCACCTTTCCCCTCCCAACCGATAACCCTCCAAATGATCTCCATTTCTGTGATTCTGTTCCTGTTCTAGTTGTTTGCTTAGTTTTAGTATTTTAGGTTCAGTTGTGATAATTGTCTGTTGTCATTTTACTGTTTATAGTTTTTGATCATCTTCTTTTTCTTACATAAGTCCCTTCAGCATCTCATATAATAATGGCTTGGTGATGATGAACTTCTTTAACTTTACCTTCTCTGGGAAGCACTTTATCTGCCCTTTCATTCTAAATGATAGCTTTGCTGGATGGAGTAATCCAGGTTGTAGGTCCTTGCCTTTCCTGACTTTGAATACTTCTTACCAGTCCCTTCTAGGCTGCAAAGTTTCTTTTGAGAAATCAGCTGACAGTCTTATGGGAACTCCTTTGTAGGTAACTGTCTCCTTTTCTCTTGCTGCTCTTAAGATTCTCTCTGTATCTTTAATCTTTGGCATTTTAATAATCATGTGTCTTGGCGTGGCCCTCTTTGGGTCCAACTTCTTTGGGATTCTCTGAGCACACTGGACTTGTATATCTATTTCTTTCACCAAATTGGGGACGCTTTCTTTCATTATTTTTTCAAATAAGTTTTCAATTTCTTTCTCTTCCTCTTCCCTCTCTGGCACTCCTGTGATGCAAATGTTGAAACATTTGTAGTTGTCCCAGAGGTTCTTCACACTGTCCTCATTTTTTAACATTCTTTTTTCTTCTTGCTGTTCTGATTGAATGCTTTTTTTCTTCCTTATATTCCAAATCATTGATTTGAGTCTTGGCCTTATCCTCTCCATTGTTTATTCCCTGTAGATTTTTCTTTATTTCACTTATGTAACCTTCATTTCTTCATGGGTCCTTTTTGTGCTACTGAAGTACCCAATGAGCTCCTTCAGCATTCTGATAACCAGTATTTTGAACTCTACATCTGATAGGTTGTTTATGTACATTTCATTTAGTTCTTTTTCTGGAGTTTGTTCTTTTCTTTCATTTGGGCCATGTTTCTTTTTCTCCTCATTTTGGCAGCCTCCCTGTGTTTGTTCCTGTTTATTAGGTAGAGCTGCTTTGACTCCCTGTCTTAGTAGCATGGCCTATTGTAGAAAAGCACACTGGAAGCTGTATGGGGTAGAGCCTTAGATAATCACCGGGGTAAGGCAACTTGTGTCACTGCTCTGTGGCTCTGTGTGTGTGTGTGTGGGGGGGGGTGCTCAGAGAGGGGACAATGCACTGCCTGGCCTCTAGAGTTTTGCCCAGGAGGAAGAAGTCTTCTGACACTCACCCTGTTGCCAGTGACTTCAGTTGCTCACCATATGCCACAGGTGCCCTTCCAGCTGTTGCCCTGGAGCTGAATCCCAGAGGCGGTGAGTCTGTGTAAGTCCTCAGTCTGTTGCAGGCTATTGAAGAGCCGTTTCCTGAGAATACCTCCGTTTCTTCTGCCGCCCCAGCCCTCACCGGTTTATACATCCTGAATTTGTGAATATTTACCTTTCTGGCACTGGAACCCTGGACTAAGTGGTCTGGTCTTGTCTTGGACTGGGATCTTTGCTCCCCAGGTATCCCTTCAGATTTTTATCCACCACATGTGGATGTGGAACCACCTGTTCCACATCTCTGCATTTCTGCCCCTCCTGGCCATCTAGATGAATGGCTTCTTTAAATCCTTGGCTGTCAGACTTCCATACAGTTTGATTTTCTGACATTTCTGGGTGATACTTTTGTAGTCTTGTTGTAATTTTTGCTGTAGTTGCACGAGGAGACGAGGCATGTTTACTTATGCCTCCATCTTAACCAGAAGTCCAAAGTCAATCTGTACTTCTTAATCTTTTCACCTTTTCTATCCAGACCCCCAACGCCCCTCCCACTGGGCAACCATCAGTTTCTTCTTTGTATCTATGGATTTGTTTCTGGTTTGTTTTTTTTTTAGATTACACATATAAGTGAAATCATATGGTATTTGCCTTTGTCCGACTTGTATCACTCAGCATAATACCTTCTAGGTCCATCTATGTCATTGCAAATGGTAAGATTTCATTCTTTTTTATGGCCAAGTAATATTTCATTGTGTATATGCACCACATCTTGTTATCTAATTGTCTATTGATGGACACTTGGGTCTTGTTTTCTTTTTTTTTAAATTTTGATTAATTAATTTATTTTTTCAAATACAATTGTCTCTGCCTACCCCTCACCACTTTCCCTTGCCCCCTCCCTCCCTCCCTCTCTCCCTCAACTCTTCCCCTTTGGTTTTGTCCATGAGTCCTTGCTATATGTTCCTTGACTTTCCCCTTCCCTTCCTTTTCCTCTGCCCCCCCCCCCGCCCCTCCTTTCCTCTTGTCTCTTTGGTTTCTTTTCCTTTCAGTGTTGCTGGTCTTATTTTCCTTGCATCTTTGTATTGTTGGTTAGGTTCCATGTATAGGTGAGATCATATGGTATTTGTCTTTCGCCTCCTGGCTTATTTTGCTTAGCATAATGCTCTCGAGTTCCATCCATGCTGTCGCGAAGTGTAGTAGTTCTTTATTTCTTTCTGCTGCGTAGTATTCCATTGTGTAAATGTACCATAATTTTTTGATCCAATCATCTACTGATGGGCATTTAGGATGCTTCAACACTTGGCTATTGTAAATTGTGCTGCTATGAACATTGGGGGGCATAGGTATTGGCGTTTTGGTGTTCTTAGGATATAGTCCCAGCAGGGGAATCACTGGATCAAAAGGCAGTTCCATTTTTAGCTTTTTGAGGAAATTCCACACTGCTTTCCACAATGGCCACACCAGTCTGCATTCCCACCAACAGTGTACTAGGGTTCCCTTTTCTCCACAGCCTCGCCAGCACCTGTTGTTTGTTGCTCTGTTTATGATGGCCATTCTGACCGGTGTGAGGTGGTACCTCATGGTGGTTTTGATCTGCATTGCTCTGATGGCTAGTGATGCTGAGCATCCTTTCAAATGTCCCTGGGGCCTCTGTATCTCCTCCTTGGAAAAGCGTCTGCCCAGGTCCTTTGCCCATTTTTTGATTGGGTCATTTGTCTTCTTGGAGTGGAGTCAAATGAGTTCTTTATATATCTTGGAGATCAAACCTCTATCTGATGTATCATTAGCAAATATATTTTCCCATAGAGTTGGCTCTCTTTTCATTTTGCTGATGTTTTCTTTTGCCGTGAAGAACTTCTTATTTTGACGAGGTCCCACTTGTTTATTCTTTCTTTTATGTCCCTTGCTTTAGGAGACATATCAGTGAAAAAATTGCTGCTTGGGATATCTGAGAGTTTCCTGCCAATGTTTTCCTCTAGGACTTTTATGGTGTTGCGACTTATATTTAAGTCTTTTATCCATCTTGAGTTTATTTTTGTGTATGGTGTCAGCTGATGATCCAATTTCAATTTTTTGCATGTAGCCGTCCAGCTACACCATTTGTTGAAGAGGCTATTATTGCTCCATTTTATGCTTCTGCCCCCTTTGTCAAATATTAGAAGCCCATAGAGACCTGGGCTTATTTCTGGGCTTTCTATTCTGTTCCACTGGTCTTTGGGTCTGTTCTTGTGCCAGTACCAGATTGTTTTGAGTATAGTGGCTTTGTAGTACAGTTTGATGTCCGGTATTGTGATCCCTCCTACTTTGTGTTTCTTTCTCCAAATTGCTGCGGCTATTCGGGGTCGTTTATGGTTCCATATAAATTTTTGAAATGTCTGTTCTATTTCTGTGAAATATGTCATTGGTATCTTACTAGGGATTGCATTGAATCTATAAATTGCTTTGGGTAGTATGGACATTTTGAGGATGTTAATTCTTCCAATCCATGAGCACAGTATATGCTTTCATTTATTTGTGTCTTCCTTAATTTCTTTCTTCAATGTTGTATAGTTTTCTGTGTACAGTGCTTTTACATCTTTGGTTAAATTTATGCCTAGGTACTTTATTTTTCTTGTTGCTATATCGAATCATATTTTTTTTCTGATTTCTTCTTCTTCTATTGCATT